TTTTTTTTCTTCTTATTCCCACAATCCTCCTCCCCTCTGACAGCTGTCAGTCTGTTCTCTATGAGCCTGTTTTTATTTTGATTGTTAGTTTATTTTGTTCATTAGATTCCACATGTACTTGGCTTTCTCTGACTGGCTTTTTTCAGGGAGCATAGTGTTCTCCAGGTCATCCATGCTGCTGCAAAGGGTAAAATTTTCTTCTTTTTTATGTCCAAGTAATATTCCACTGTATAAATGTACCACAGCTTTTTGTATCTACTCATCAACTGATGGGCACTTGAGCTGCTTCCAAATCTTAGGTTTTGTAAATAACAGTGCAACGAACATAGGGGTGCATATATTCTTTCAATTAGTGTTTTGGGTTTCTTTGGATATGTTCTCAGAAGTGGAATCGCTGGGTCATATGGCAGTTTTACTTTTAATTATTTGAGGTATCTCCATACTGCTCCCCACAGTGACTATACCAATTTGCATTCTCACCAACAGTGCACTAGGGGGTTCCTTTTTCTCCACATATTTTTAAGGAGGACTCTCTGTTAACCTGAAAACATTTTGCTGGCCTAGGTGTACATCAGAATCATCCTCTCTCACTTTATTTTCAAGAAAAAAAATTGCAGAAGCTATGAGTCTTTTTTTATCCTCTGGTTAACTAAGACCCATGTCCTCTGCCTCTGGCAACTCTAATGTTAAATTTCTCATCAGTATTTAAAAGAAAAGGCAGGATTTGTGTGTGGAATAGTGAAAGCTGATTTAGAAGCACATAAACCATCAAAGTAGTCAATGTTATTTTAAGTCCTAGATGCCAGAACATAACTCTCAAAAATAATCTTTGGCACACCAACAACCGAACAGGGAGGGGAGTCTTCTGCCTGTCTATGGGATTTGCAGTATGTATGTGTTCATTATAGGGGTCATTACGGCTTTGCTTTAAATGTGGACTCCACTGGAAGCAAATCAATACATATAATTCATGGATTAGCCCCTACCAAAATTGTATTTGAGATTTTTTTCTCTTTCTGACCCAGAAAACTTCTCTTTCCTTAAGAAGTGATGCTTCCTCATTTTTGAAGGTTGGCTGTATTTCCCTTTTTCCTTTGGCTAACAGGACACTCGTAGCTAAATCTGAAGCTTTATCAGACCATTTATCTCCCTTCTTGCTAGCCTCCATTGTGTTTTCCTATTCTGTGGTACAAGATTACCTACCTCTATCTTTTTTCCTTATATCCTAGCTCTATTTTGCCATTATTTTTATTGTATATGTTTGTGTAAGCTATTTCTTTTGTAGAAAGAGGAAGGTATAGGCCAACAAATAAATATTTCTCTAAGCTGCTTTAAATCCTATGTCAAACTAGAAATGCTTTTTATTTATCATATAAAGTCTCTTTTGAATTCTTGGTGATTAAGCTTCTTATAAGGTGAAAGAGAATTCATAAAACCTGGGTACATATCCTTGTTACATCTTCAGCGTTAGGAAATCCACTGTTTTCTCCCTTTCTTTTCACTCCTGCCTACCCCATTATAGCTGGAAAGCAGAGTTGTGCTTAACAGCTCCGAAGGCCAGGACCAGGTATAAGAAATCATTTAATCTCCATGTAAACCAAACTCAGCATCGATATTTAGGGGGGTCTTCCTTTAAGATAAGGCCTCACGGTGAGTTACTGGAAATCACTTTTATTCAGGGAAGCAAGTCAACAGTACATATTTCTACAACCTGAAACATCTTGGATGTTAGGTTAAATACGTATCTCTGGCAAAGTCAAAAGGGCTGTTGAAGAGGTTCAGACATCATCATGGATCCTTCGTTTCCATCATCATGACAATGTGAACATACTCTAAGGAGACGAGCTGGCACGCACACACTTTGGACATCAGGAGCTGTTCCACTCGGCGGAGTGCAGAGGCAAAACCCGCTCTGGCGCTCTCTGCCATCATGCTCCCCGACAGAGCTCAGTAGAAGTGTCCCTACTCAGTTTTCTCATGAGCCAAAAAAGAACACTATTTCTTTCTAGAACATAGGCCATTTCAAAGCCACCATATTTATTTACATGTTGAAAAAAAATAAAACTGAGGAAGGAGTATCTTGAGAGTTACACAGGCAGACAGAACTATGCTCTAACACACTGCCATGCTCACCACGTCCCCCAGTAATTTCACCCAGGAAGTCTTTGCTGATACAGTTCCATGTTGTCTTTATTTCATGAAACTATTTAAAAAACAAAGGAGGAAACACAACTTTATAGATTCCTTATCACTGTCGAGAATTTGATGGAATAACCACTGAAGCAAAGTTGTAGGACAGAAGTAGAGCATTTGGTTTGCATTTAATTAAGGGTGTGTGTATAAAATATTAAGTATAAACTCAATCACTTTGAGTATATTTTATGCTGCATGTCACCATAAATGCCCTGCATTCCCACAACTGAAGAGGGCACCGAGGACACTTCGGAAAGGTTATGTCTCAGGAAACTTAACTACCCAACGAGGACATAGAACATTGACTCAGTTGGAAATCCCTTCCCAAAGTTTTAGCATAGCCTTTTTTCCCCTCATTTTTTGGCCATTTAAAAGTATAGCATACTCTTAACAGACTGTTTTCATGTTAACTCAGAGCTTATTCTTAAACTTTAGTTCTCAACTCTAAATACATACATTGGTGTATGCAAAACTCACTTTCCGGTGACTACCCTCCATCACTTCAGCTGCACAGAGCCTCCAAAGAACGACCTCCATCCCTTTCCTCAGAGCCTCTATCAGCACATTTGACTATTTCCGGCAACACTGAGCACACGTAGGCAGAGGGCATCGGCACACCAGGCCAGCGTCTGCCCCGAGGAAGTCCAGATGCTGACTAGAGATACGCACTTTAAAACCCATCACATTCAAGCAGGGAGTGGTGGCCCAGGAGTCGCCAGCCCCCAAACCATGTTTACGTACCCGCTGGAGTCTGCAGAAACCTCGATGATCTGACTCAGATTTTGTGACAAGAATGACTTAATGTTACAGTGGAGAAGCAATGAAATCAACTGCTTTTAAGAAGAAACCAGCAGGGGTTAAAGCCAATTTTCCCTTGAACAGATGATATTTCAGATGGCCACACTATTCCAGATGCATCAATTTCCTTGAAAATCCAATCCATATATGTGCATATGCTGTGCTGGCAGGAGGACTGACTGAAATGGCCAAAACCCAAGAGCTAATATTCTTTTGGCCAGAATAATGCAATTATTATTTTCCTAGCTATCAGTCTAAGCATACAGAGCCATCTGTTATGCAAAGCAAACATACACATCTCAATTACAGAAAATGCAGTTGCCTTGACAGAATTTGGATTACACCACTAACCAGGGCTATAAAATGTATTTTGAGCTAGTATATAATGGATGCTTTTCAGGAGTTCCCTAATTAGCATTTACCTGCTTAAACTAATTATTCATCCTTCTTCTTCACTGGCTGATTAAACTTTGTTGGAGAGTCTGCATAAAACAGATGAATATGAGCATTGCAGAACAACAAGCGGCGGCGTTTCTGGTTTTATATGGCATTATCATGGCGGCACACCAATTTCAAAATTGGAGATTCCCAATTCTAGGTCCCAAACAGATTAAGACAAGGCTCAAATTCTATTAAAGGCAATTACAAACCCAGAGCTTTCAGTGAGATGCAAGAATACTAATATCGAGTTAACAGTAGCTCAGTTTCTATCATTTGGTTTGCTAAAGTCCACATAAAATAGAATTACTATCTATACATCATAGGCAAATAGTTTGCATGCTCTTCAAGGAAGAGCTAATGGACCCTCGCTTGAATTCTCAACAGTAAATAATCAAATTTGGCAGTGTTTCTCCTCCTCCCCCAATCTTCCTCAAATGCCAAATATCTCTCTTTATTATTTCCCAATGTCTTTCTTGATTTAGCTATTTCCAAGCAAACTCACTAACAGCCAACAGGTTCCAGTCACACTGGAGGCCTCCGTAGAGGGGTGCCAACTTTCAGAAGCAAGGAGTCTGGGGTGGATCCTGCTTAAGAGGAGACAAATCTTATCTCCATCTTTAGCTCCAAGGGGCAACTGAATGAGAAGTAGATTATCCAACTTGGCAGATCATCACACACACAAAATCCCTCCCACCCAGGCTGCGCTTCCCTTCTGCCAAACCGCCAGATGAAAAGGGTCAAACTCAGCCAATTGCCTGTATGGGCACAAATATCCAGATGTTTAGCATTTTATGGAGAAAACATCTGGATAATTAGTTGGATTGCAAACTTTTCTTCAGGGTATTTTGGCATTTTTTTAGACACAGGCTGTGTCTTGGAATCCAACGGAAGTGAAAATTTTGTGTTCCAGGGGAATATTGAAAAGTAACTTCTAGGATATTGTCCCTTGCCCCATCTGCCCTCCTATTTTTTCCTTTTAACCTCTAGCAGACACATGTGGGTAATTAAACTGCAAATAATAAACGGCTGTCTAGGCTTATGAAATTGTCTTTCAGCATTAGGAAGCATTTGCAAAGGCAGTTAGATATTTCCTTGCTGGAACCCTCCCTGCAACACATTTTAATGGTCTCTTTCAGCATTTCTTGACTCCAAATGACTCCCTGTCATTGTGTCAGCTCCCAGGATAGTGCAGGGTACTCCATAAACATCCAGTAATAGGACACAAGGGAAGCGCTACCCGTGTGTCCCTCTCCTGCCGGGCACAGAGGTTTTAAAGTTCAAAACAACCAAGGGAAGAAACTTTCATTTGTTCTCAATAAATTAATAATGATCCTTGAGTTGGGGGGAGGCGCCGAGGCAGGGGACTAAAGTTTTTGAGCGCAAGTTTATTCTGAACGTTCCAAACTGACATACCACTTTACCACTGACTTTGGGAGAACAGTCAGGTAGAGTCATCGAAGAATAACTTTGGTAATTTGTGCTAAACAGAATATCCACTAAGGAAGGAAAAGCATGAGGCCCAAGGAGCCTTCACGATGGCCACCAAGAATCTAAATAGTTTTACTTACTTGTGAGAGGCCTAGGTAGATGGAGACTGTTTCGGAAATGTACAAAAATTTTCCTTCTTGATTTAGTGCAAATACAAAGCCGTCCAGGGACTGCAGAAAAAAAAATATAAATATATTAATAAACATATATGATGGAGATATAGTTAGTAAGGAATCTGATGTAAAACAATACATATCAAATTAAAGAGCACTTCTTTCCTTTGTGTTTAACAAAAAATCATTAAGATCTTTTAGCATTGTGTGAACAAATAAAAGGTCTGGGTTAAGATGACGAGTTTTCCTTTATTTCAACAATTTTCTTACATCCCTGTCGTTCTGATCAAGATATATTACACTCATGTACAAAATCAGGTCATGCTGATTTTATGAGATGTTGCCTTTATTTTTTGGGATTCAGTAGTTACTGAGATTAAATCAGCAAGACTCTCCATTTAATAGCTGAACAGGAAGGGAAATTGTAATGAAGTGAGAGAAAAAAAATGTTCCTATAGGAAGAGAAAGTAAAATCACCACTTGAGCTGCTACGGACATCAATAATTTGCTAATTATTAAAGGATTATGTCCTCACTACGTCAAGTGCCTAACATGTTAGAACAAACAGGAAAAGTCAATACATTGTGGGTGAATGTTTATATAGGCTGAGACCATACAAACTGTGATCCATTTTTGTAAAACTCTGTATTACAGTTTTATTGTGATAGTTCTACTTTCTATTATGACTCCTGTAATGGCAACGAAAGAAGGAAAAAAAAAGGATGTTACACATCACTTGTAACTCTTGAAACCTTAGTTCACTTTTGAAATGGAGGGTTGTTGCATTTTCAGTTTGATAAATGGTGTAAATCATCATGAACTCCAACTGCGATGCACCACTCACACTGAGAATACATTTGTTTCAAACTCTTGTAATCCAAGTGCACCTTATATGTACCATCACCCTCATTTTTTTTGTTTTGTTTTGTTTTTTAAATTTATTTTTAACCAGGCCGATTTTACAAATAATACTTGCATGGGAAAAGAAGTTTTAAAGATTAGTGGTATTTACAGAGGCTGTGGATTTGGAAGTACGGGAAACTCAAAATGGGAACAAGATGAGTAGCAACACTGAATTAATGACATAATTCTTAAATATTAAAATGTAGAAGCAGCATGTAAAATTTAATTAGAAAAATAAACTACCTCAAATCTCGGCAATAATTTCAGTCTCCTAAAATACTGAACTATTGGGGAGAGAGCTATATATGTATTTATGTATATATGTATCTATGCATACTGGAATACGTGTGTGTGTATATATACTTATACGTGTTTATGAAATTCAAATTCCATGCTTCCTGATCTTTTTTTATAGCCCTCCTGGTCATAAGCTGCGGGTAGCACCCAACCGCCTTCTCTAATTTAGTGGGTCCTAAAAGCAATTCAAAAGTCACATTGAATTGTTCTACATAAAAGCAAGTTACATGACAAACAAGCATTTGGCTAAGATAGTACAATAATAATAGCTTATATTTATTATGTATATGTGCTTGGAAGTTTGCATGTATTGTCTCTTTTAATTTTCACAAGTACCACTTGTAGTAATTACATTATCATCTACATTTTGCATACTGGGATATTGAGGCTTAGCAAAGTTAGGCAACGTGCCTGTCCCAGCAAGTGGCAAAGTTGAGGCTGGAAAGCCAACAGGCTCAATAAATATGCTGTCTTCCACTGAAAATAAAGATTCTCTAATTGGTATGTGTATATTAATGAAAAAATAAGTTGTACAGCATTTCTGGAGTTAAAATATTTGTATTAAGAGGCAGCCTATTTCTTTTTGAAATTAGTTACTTATATTTGAATGATTTGTTCAAATGATAGAATCCTCTTAGTAGTAGTAGGAGGGAAATGGGAGGACAAGGGTGTTCATAGGTCACTTCCACAATAGGTCACCTGGCCACCTTTGCTCAATAATACCCCGCCTGGAACCAGCATTGGGACAGGGAGCAAAATACTGCCAAAGGGAACAGCTGGGCTCCTTAGCTTTGACAAAATTGCCAACCCTCTCCCCCACCCTGAGCTGAGGTCCAACCTTTCAGGCTTAGAGTATGGTACAGTGGAACTTTATTTAAACCAGTGCGAAAGGGAGAGAAGTTGCTTTTGCACAAGTTGGAAAGGATCTCATTAACAGGTCCTCACCTCAAATAAGATGTCTCCTGAGGATGACGCATGAGGATTATTACTCTCCCCCTTCTGACCTTCCCCATGGAGAAAAGGACCTGGTTAGGCTTTTCATTCAACCTTATAGTCATGGTCTGGCATACAATCACTCAGAGCTGTGTGAGCCATCTTCTCAAATCTTAAAATGCTACTGTCAGTTTAGAAGGATACACAGAGGGTGATCACAAGAGAATGTCTATGGGAACAAGTGACAATGGAAAAGCTGATTGAGAGCAGGCAGAGAGATAATCTGTAGTTTAAATCCTCATATCACAGGTGAGGAAATTGAGGCACAAAGAGGCTAAGGGGCTGGACAAGGTCATACAGCTAACTAGTGGCAGAGCCAGGGTTAATTAAATATGATGCACGCCATTAGTATCGTTTAAGTATTGATGACATTGTATGGCCCTGGTTGCTTTATTCAATTTCCAAGAAGACTGAATTTCTGACAGTGGGGCAAGGTCATATTCAACTTTAGTGAGCACCTAACAGCTGCTCAGCCAAGGCTTAGTAAATCCCCTTCTACCTCCAAACCCAACGCTCTTTCCCTTATATCACACATGCTAAAATGACTGAGAGGGATCGCAATTATTTTCTCCAAGAGGTCTGCTTCTGGAGCTATTAGATTATTTGCAGATTCTGATGCCACAGATGTCTAACATAGTCTGGAATATCTTCTGACATTTGGAAGATTAGAGTTAGACTGGATTCTTTTATAGTCTTCCAGGACATTGAGCGCTATTCATTTGCCATCAACATACACTCTTTACTTTCTCACTAAAAGGTATTATGAATTCTTAACATTAGGTTAATATCTCCTGTATTTACTAAAATACTAGAGGAGGTCTGGACACCATAGCAGGGGAAAGGAATACCTGGAGGCTAAACATCTGATGCTATTAAGCAGCGGCGATCTAAGGACTGGCCAGTTTTCCTTGGCAAAAGCAGAGGCTTCAACACGTGTTCCAATTTCCTGGTGAGATTAAAATGAGTCTCTGTCTACATGACACAAAGCAACCAGTCAATTCAATTAAAAATAACAGCTAATTTTGTGGGGGGCGGAAAATCCAACTAGTCAGATTAGTTGTTTGTTGTCAAAAATAAACAAAACTGGTTAGCTACATTTTCACTTTTATGTTTATCTGTCATTTCAGTCAATTACATCTATAGTGTGAAATAACTCCGGTTACATACCTTGCAAATAAAGAATACGATATAAAACCAGGTCTAGAATGGGATTGGCAAGACCGCTCTTAACATAGCCATTACCTTCTGATTCAGGGTGATCCCTGTCTAAAGTCAGCTGTATTTTGCTGCTTAGAAAAGTTTTAAGAGTAGCATCAGTATTGGTTTGATGCTGGTGTCTGAATTTTAAAAGGTGGAAGGAGGAAAGAAACATTCAGTCAGTTAGCTTTGGGAACCAAATGTGATTGATCTGAAAGTTGTGTGCATTTTTTAAAAACTCGAATCAAGAAAGCTACTCTATACTGAGCTGTTTCAATCACTGCAGGCTAGTTTGTAATTTTTTTTTTTAACTGCCCACTATTTTCGACAGGCGCCAATTAAGATTCTAGGGTCAAAGGGTTAATTACATCTTCTTACTCAGTATGTAGAATTTTCTGATTATTAACTAAGGTTGGATTAAGATGAAAAAGAACCTACACAAATGTTAATGCTAGTCCCTCCTTGAGAAGATTTATTATAAAGCCATGCTGAAATCTATCTGCTTTCCTCAAAGCAGATGGAGAACAAAATCTTAGAGAAAACAGTAAAACAGACATTTTAAAGGCATGCAAGTAGCTGATTTATCAAGACAGTTTTCTTATTACTTACTAACACCAGTGCTAAGCCATCACAATAGGGCTGAGAGGAGATTTCCTTTGTCACATCTCGGTAAGTCCATGAGGTGCACATGCAGGAGTGAGGCTTGGAAACAGAAGTCAGAAGCTACAACATCTCTGAATAATAATGCCTGTAATTATAATTTATATCCCCTGACATAAGTGCAACATATAAAGGGTAAGGCAGAGTTTCTTTAACCCCCAAAGCTGAGTGCCTCTAACAGTATTTGTCAAATGATGAGGTTATTTCCTTGCAGGGTATGAAACTAACTATAGCTTCATAATTGAAGGTATACTAATGTTTAATGCATTGTGCTAAATGGGTTTATATTTGTCAAAGTAGTTTGTCTCTGCTTCCTTTTTTCCTGCACATTCCACTGCAGCCAAATTTCGGAGTGAAATCTTACTGTGGTGCCCTTCCAGAGGCAGCTCTCATATATATCACTACCCTGAAACTAGTGGTTCTTTCTTCCATATTCCAAAGCAGAAGAGGAAAAAAAAATCACCCCAAACTCTTTTCCTATGACCCAACTCCAGTTAGAGTGAAGAATTACCAGTAGGCTAGGTTATTTTAATGACAGATTATTTTAAACTAAGCCTTCACCATCTGTTCCACCCCCTAATTATGAATGCAAAAAGAACATATTTCACAATTACATCAGTAAAAAAGTAAGATATACGTGATTTAAATGCATGCATGTGCTCCATGTCCAATGCACCGTGCATCTGTGATGTTCTTCTAATTCAGTCTTAGGTTACGGAGAAAATGCAATGATAGAGGACAGTCTCTGACACACTCAACTTTCCCCCAAACCCAGGGTTTTTCACTGTTGGGACACAATTCTGTTAGGACAAGAGCAGAACGTGAATGTGAGCACAATACAGGCCGCCCACTGGATGTGAGTATTTTCTAACTGCTAAAATGGATTTGCTGCTAATAAGGAGAGGCTGTATGAGAAAACCGTTTCTGCTACCTGAGCAATGCGTAAGCACCGGGAATAAACGAGGCTGCTCCTGAACCACACCTCCGCCATCAGGAACAGAGGCTGT